GAGAAATTGAAAAAATAGAAGATAATAAAATTCTTCAAGAATATGAAACATAGGTTTTTTTTTTAACCTCAAATTTCTATTGCTTACCCATCCCACATAGCACATTGTGTTCCATAATCTGTCTAGGATGGTGGGATGAAAGGATGTGAGCATTGAAAGCAAACCCATGTGGGTGTGAAACCTAAAGCTATCAGTGATTAGCTGTGTGTTGGTCACTTTACCCTTCCCGACCTCAGGCTTCTCAGCTTTCAGACAGGGATGATAACATTTTCATCAGAAGATTGTGGTGAGGGCTTTTTTTCTTTTTTCTTTCAGGGCAATTGTGTTGGTAGCATATTGGATATTTCTAACATGTACAAAGTTATGTATTTTGATTTACTTTTATTTCTTTCTATGTATATGTACTTCTCTTCAAATGCCAAGAGCTTTCTCTTGCTATCATTGTTCCTTTTGAAACAATTCAATTTTCAAGTCCACTGTTGATTGTTATGTTAAAGATTGAGTCACTGACAGATATTCAAGATTTAAGTCTGAAACAGTCAAATTGAACTCTCAAAAAAAAAAAAAAGAAAACTGCATATCGGAAATCACTACTGTGGAAATGAAGTTTATTTGCCATTATGAATAATGTCCAATATAAGAATATGCTTCTGGAATTCAGTACTGCTTTTAAGTACCAATGATACTTATTTTTCAAAAATGTAATGGCATGTTATTGCTTTGAAATGCTTGCTTAGGGCTTTTTTCATGTTGTCTTAAAATGCGCTGGTGAATTATCCATTTTTGATATCCATTTCACAGGTAAAAGACAAAAAAATCTAGATTGGCCTTGATATTGGGATGAGAAAAAGTAAGTAGCATTAAGAAATAAAACAATCTTCATTTTAGAGATGAACCCATTAAAACAATTTAGGAAATGAGGGGCAAAAGGGAAGAAATAATATTGCCAAAGAAAATGAGCATAAAAATGAATGCATTTCAATGTTTAAGAAGGCTTGAGGTCACTTTTTTATTTAACTGAAAACAAAAGATTGTGGTGAGGATTAAATGACAATCGTGGACATAAAGTCATGTAGTGGTTCAAGATGGAAGACTGAGGACACGTGTTTACTTCTCCTTCCACCCAGGATGCCACAGAAATTACAGAAAAGCTGGTAAAAAATAATAAGGCACTCATTCTCTCTCCTGCTGCCCTGTGAAGAGATGCCTTCTGCCATGATTGTAAGTTTCCTGAGGTCTGCCCAGCCATGCGGAACTGTGAGTCAATTAAACCTCTTTTCTTTACAAATTAAATAATAGTAACAGTAAATCCGTAACTTACCAGGCATGGTGGCACACGTCTGTGGTCCCAGATACTCAGGAAGCTAGGGTGGGAGGACTGCTTGAGCCTAGAAATTTGAGACAAACCTGGGCAACAGAGCAAGACCTTGTTTTATTAAAAAAAACAAAAAAGTCATAACTGCTGGAAGAACATCAGACCCAAAAATTGAGGAAGTTATTGGAGGATGGATTGAGGATGGTGCTGGAGTCGTGTAGAAAGTGGACTCTGTTTCTCATTTCCTTTCATCACCGTATTTCTTGTGAGTATTCAGATTCATACTTCATTGCCCTGTGTTGACTCTGGGAACCACTACAATCTGGCTTCTTCTACCATGATTCCATTGAAACCGTTCTTATGAAAGTGTCTCATGACCTCCCCCTTGCTAAGTCCAGCATCTGGCGGTCATATCACTGTCAGTATCTTAGGCAACCCGTTAGCAATATTTGTGACAGTTTTCCACTTCTTGAAACCTTGTCTTTTCTTCATTTCCATGACACCTCAGCCCTCTGGTTTCCTTCTACCTCAGTGGTGGCTCCTGCTCTGTCTTCTTGGCTAGCTTTGCTCTCTCTGGCTGATCTCTGAACATCCTTGCTCCCTGGTCCTGGCCCCTTTTTCGTCATCTTCAATATTCTTGATGAGCTCCTCCATTCTCACAGCTTTCAACACTGTGTCTCAATGGCTCCTGCATTTCTGTCTCTAGTCTAGTTCTCTCCTTGGAGCTCCAGACTTGTATACTCAATTGCATTAAAAACAAAACAAAAACGAACCTTTTTAGCTGGATGTAGTGGCCCACATCTGTGGTTCCAGCTACTCAGGAGGCCAAGGCAGGAGGACTGATTAAGCCCAGGAGTTCAAGACCAGGCTGGGCAACACAGTAAAAACTGTCTCAAAAAACAAAAACAAAAAAATCCTTTTTTAAAATAAATTTTTTTTTCAAACTTATACAAAGGCTACAAAAATAAAAATAGCACGGAAAACACTTGCAAATGGTTTACCCAGATTTACCCAAAATTAACATTCATTCCATTTGCTTTATTTTTTTCTTCCTCTCTGTGTATTCCTCTGTGTGTATGTATATCTATAACACACACATACATAATATGTATTGTTATGTGTATGTGCCTGTGTGTGTGAGTGTGTATATTTTTTTTCCTGGAACCATTTGAAGGCATGGCCCTTTACTTCTAAACACTTCAGTTGTCTTAGGGATAAAAGGTTTTCTCTTACCTAACCATAGTGCAGTTATCAACTTCAGAAAATTTAACATTGCTACCATGCTTTATCTTTTTTTTGTTGAACTTTAAATTTTTTTAATTTTAAATTTTTATAATTTTAATTTTTTATTTCCATAGGTGTTTGGGGGAACAGGTGGTATTTGGTTGCATGGATGCATTCTTCAGCGGTGATTTCTGAGCCATACTTTATCTTGTCCACCATTCACATTGCAATTTTTGTCAGTTAACCCTAAAATATCCCTTATGGCTTATTTAAAAAACTGTAGTACAGGATCTAGACTACATTCAGATATTGCATTTAATTGTGATGTCTCTTTGGCCTCTAATCTGGAGCACTTCCACAGCTTTTCTTTTTCTTTTATGACACTGACATTTTTTTTTTTAAACTGAGCACAATTTTATGGAATCCTTATAGTCCCTGCCCCCACCACATGAGGTCAGAACTATTATTATTCTCATTTTACATGCAGGGAAACTGAAACATACAGAGGGTAAGAAACTTGCCTGACGTCACAATTAGTAAAGGTCAGAGCTAGGATTCAAACCTGCCCATCGTGGGGCCCTGAACCCCCACAATAGTGTTTCTTACTTCCCTACTCCTTCTTGTAGACCAAAGCACCTGATGGTTTTGTAGGATTTTCCAAGGTACTTTCTTTACCTACTCTATCATCACTGCTGAGAGATTTTAAAATGTAAGATGCAATCAACCACCCAAAGAATGTGTGAGCCTGTGGTATAGAGCTGGGTCCTTTGTCTTAAGGCTGCAATCTCAGGAATTTCTTAGATAATGTGTCTTTTATGTGTTGTGATGATGAAAGGCTCTAGTAGAACTCCCTGTTTACATAAAATGTGACATTTATAAGTTTCCAAGAAAACGCCCTGCCTGTCTGGCAGAACGGAGCTACCAGAAGACTCAGAATCAGGCAGGGATTTTTCTCATGTGCATGTTATCCACACCCCATGGGACACAGCCCTCTTGTCAATGGTTCGCGGAACACAGGAAAGGTTTGTTCTGGAAGATCCTCCTATCTCAAACCCACACAGACACACTCAACCCTGCTCAGGCTGGAGCGTGGGATGCTCTTGTTGCAGCTTCAGGGAGAGACTCAATTTCCTTCGGAGAGGATGTCTAAATCCTTAGAATGCAGTGACCCAGTGCTATAAACAACATCCAATGTGAAAGAGCAAACTGCCATGTAACTGATGGAGGAAAAACACTTGCCATATAACTGATGGAGGATGAGTATTATTCCAATATTTATTCTTCTGGCAACGGAGTGTGAGAGGGGCTCATCTCACTACACCCTTGTATTACTGGAACTATGAGAGATTAAAAAAAAGTGACATCCTGCTTTTTTTTTTTTCGAGATGGAGTCTCGCTCTGTCGCCCAGCCTGGAGTGCAGTGGCGTGATCTCGGCTCACTGCAACCTCCACCTCCTGGGTTCAAGCAATTCTCCTGCCTCAGCCTCCCGAGTAGCTGGGATTACCACCACACCAGGCTAATTTTTTTCTTTTTAGTAGAGATGGGTTTCACTATAGGCCAGGCTGGTTTCGAACTCCTGACCTCATGATCCGCCTGCCTCGCCCTCCCAAAGTGCTAGGATTACAGGTGTGAGCCACTGCGCCTGACCGATATCCCACTTTTAAGTGGCATTGGTTAAGTGCCTGAGGAGAAAACATTTTTCCTTGTGATTGTTCCATTTTGTCTTGTTTTTTGTTTGTTTCACAGTCTGGCTATGAGGAAATGATTGTTCCTTTATGAATCATGAAAATTCTGTCATCTATGAATTTTCTGTCCATGTCCTTTGTCATACACATATTGAGAAATCAATGGATTTTGCTGTTGTTGGTCACTTGGCATGAGTGCATTCAATACAAGTACACTTGGCCTGTCATATATATGGAAAATAATTTTCCTAACTTGCTTGAGTTAAAATTTGGTTGTTGCTGTATTTTGTCTTGCAGAAACCTCCAGTTCTTAAGTGATCATCAAACCTGTTGATATTTCCTTTTAAACATATTTCCCCTATTCCTTTTGTAGGGCCATTCCAGAGGAAAGAGCTTCTTGCAGCAGACTCTTTCTGAAAATGACTGACTTCTCCGCAAGTCAGGCAACAATAATGACATAGTTCCTAACAGTGTCAATGCACTTCATCTGATTTGATGAAATTTGGGGGCAAGGACACAGTGGCATACCAAGGGTAGGTGGTGGGAACAGCCTACCCTGCACGCAGGCAATAAAGGAGTGCCTTGTGTGTAGTGTCGTTAAAAACAGTAATCAAACTGACCACACGGTGCTCAGCTTTTTATTATCACTATATGCTGGTTATTCTAAGCAGTGTCTGTGATGAAGTACTTACTCTTTCCCCTCAAACCATTTATTAGTCTAAGTCCTAAACAGTTGCTGTTATTAGTGTTGTCTTTTAGTGATATATGTCCAGGCTTAAAGTGTGCACATTTTATTACTTATGTTTTAATAAACACTGCCTTCTATATGGAAGTGAATTTGGAACACCTCTAATTACACAGGACATAAGCAGAGTCAGTTGCAGGCTGGTTCCAAGAGTCCGTTTGCAAGGGTGACAATTCAGAATTGTTGGTGCTCACTTCTGGGGCAGTTAGTTTCTCCTACTCTGGATCTATGCCGTAATCCCGTGTTGAATGAGTAGAGTGGAAGTGAACGAGGCTAGCACGGTGAACTGGGTTCGCTTCAGTTCTGTCTGTCTGGGTGCAAGCCAGTCTCTAAAGCTTTGGAGTTCACTCTTTTGGAATTGTTTCTTCGTGTATGCCCCCACTTAAAAAACATACACACACATTAAGGTAATGATTAATCCATGACTTTTTAATTTTTGTACTGTAATATGTATTTTGCTTTTATTAAAAAGTTTTTACTGGCAAAACTATATATACAAAGTTCAATCCTGCCACTATTTTCTCTGGCCATTAGTATTCACTTCATTTCATTTCATTATGACCAAAGATGATTTCATTGTATGTGGGGATATTGAGGGTGATCTGCTGGAAACTAATACAACAGTTGTGCTACAGTAGGTGTGTTTCCCAGTCTTCACCATAGGGCCTTGTCACCTGCAAGCTAGAAGAGCAGGTGGCAGGTATGGTTGTGAAGAAGGGGTGGCCAGCAGGACTGGCTTGTTTCTCATCATTCAAATTCCATTCAATGCAGGTCAACTCTCCTGGGGTTGTCCTGAGCAATGCCTCCAGATACATGTGGACGGTGCCTACCTGGCCTTGGGGGACAACCCACTGAATACACAAGAGTGTCTTCTGCAAGCAGCCCTGCTGTCCCTCCTTGCAGGACATGTTCTTTCCTGCTGCTGGTAGGCAGGTGGGGCTGGCTCCCCTCCCCCGGTCCACAGGCGAGATGTGTCACTGTGGTCTGTCTCCATGGTGGCCGGTGACTGGCTGGGAAAGCGCTTCCTCCAGCTGCTCTCGGCCTGGCAGATACAAGAGATGTGGTGCCCCTTGAGCCTCGTGGTGTTGCTATCTTCGCTACAGTCTCTGAGGACACGCTAGGCCACAGGCAAAGTGAGAGCAATCGTCTTTTTCTGCCCCACAAAATTGCTGACATGGTTTTGACACTGTCTGGAGCCATAACGTCAGGCTCACTCCACGTAAGCACCTCAACTTGAAGAGCAAGTGGGAAGGAAGGCATCAGGTCACGTGCCTGTGTTTAGTGTTGGTTCAGTTCTGAGTTCTGCCAGTGATTTTGAGAGGTGAAGCCAGTTGGATTTCCTGGGTCCAGTGGGGACTTGGAGAACTTTTTTGTCTAGCTAGAATTGTAAATGCACCAGTCAGCACTCTGTAAAAACGCACCAATCAGCGCTTTGTGTCTAGCTAAAGGATTGTAAATATACCAATCAGCACTCTGCAAAAATGCACCAATCAGTGCTTTGTGTCTAGCTAGAGGATTGTAAATGCAACAGTCAGCATTCTGTAAAAATAGACCAATCAGCACTCTGTAAAATGGACCAATTAGCACTCTGTAAAATGGACCAATCAGCAGGACATGGGAGAGCCCAAATAAGGGAATAAAAGCTGGCCACATGAGCCAGCAGCAGCAACCTGGTCTGGTCCTCTTTCCCGGTGTGGAAGCTTAGTTCTTTGACTCTTCATAATAAATCTTGCTGCTGCTTACTCTTTGGGTGTGCACTACCTTTATGAGCTGTAACACTCACCGCGAGGGTCCATGGCTTCATTCTTGAAGTCAGTGAGACCAAGAACCCACCAGAAGGAACCAACTCCAGACACAATTTCAGGAGGGTTGGCCTGAGGTTGTTATTGCTGCCACAGCTCCATGCCACCTGGAGGAGCTTCAGGAGCTATCCAGTTCCAGAATGAGACCGCTTTTTTTTTGGAACTGATGACAAAGATGCTTGGAGTCAAGGGGACTGATTTTGTTTTTTAGAGATGGTGTCTTGCTATATTGCCCAGACTGGAGTGCAGTGGTTATTCACAGGCACAAACATAGCGCACTACAGCGTGGAACTCCTGGGCTCAAACAATCCTCCTGCCTTATCCTCTTGAGTAGCTGGGATTCCAGGCATACACCATCGCACACAGCTTATTATATTTTGACATCTTTGAAAACCCTGTCTGGCTGAGGGAGACCACTGGCTCTCTGGAGCTAGCAAATCTTTAGAGACAGCAAGGGGGCATACCTTTGATATGCAAACTACCCAACCCAGGGCATACCTCATCCATCTGGCCCGCACACCCCAGGAGGGTACGTTCCTCTGCCTAATCATCCCAGGGCCAGATGCCAGGCAGCTGGAGACCACCCGACAGCCCGAAGCCCTTCAAAATTATCTACACTAGCCCATCTTAAGCTGCTCACCCCGCCCTGGCTTTCCCAAGGAGACTCCAACAAAGGCCATGGCCCAAGCTCTCCCTGCGCCCCTGCCTTCTGCCTCCTGACCAACACTGGTGCTTCCCCTGTGGTCCTGCTTGGTACATGATGAGCCCCTTTCTGGAGCCTGTGAGTATAATGGACTTCATTCTCCTGCGCCTCTCTTGCATCTCCTCTTATGGCCCTACCTGACCTGACCATTGGCTGAAAGGACACAGAGCAGGGAGGCTGAAAACCTCTTCGCTGTTTGCCTCGGGCTCATACCTGTTCCCCTTGGTGTCCCTTTCTCTTTCTCCAGCCCCAGGTTGATGAGTGACCCATTCATGATTCGTGTCCTGTTCTGGGCAACTTGTTCCCCCTTCCTGGGAAGGTGATGGTGGTTATGTCACCGTGGTGGAGATGTGGCAGCAAACAGATTCTCACAAATATGAATCATTCTTGGCATAACTTTGACGTCACATAATACTAATACTACTACTAATAAAAAGTCCCCTTTCCCACCAGAGGTGAGATATAAAAAATAAAACTTGAGTGAGGATGGAAGAACCCATCCTGCCACGGTATACTTTTTGCTTAAGCAAAGGTCTGTTGAATGAAGACTTGTTTGCCTCTTGGCTCTTAACTGGGTCTCAGACTATGCATGTATGCATGAGAGACAGAGAGAGAGAACTAAACACACACACACACACACACACACACACACACACCTGTCCACACAGATGGCATCACCATTGGAGTCAGGCAATAGGACCCTTTCTTGGGTCCCCTTTTTGAGAAAGCTGCTCTGTCTCTTCTTTGTGCCCTAAACCACAGGATGAGGAAGCTGAAGGGCCAAGGAGGTGCGCTCATGGGAAACCATGCTTGCCTGGCTGGGCCACATTCTGGGCACCGGGGTCCTGAAACACTGCTTGAGCCAGCTTCCAGAGCTTGCATGGGCCTCTCTCCTGGCTCTGGTTTCCCAGGACAGTCCTGAAGGGGACTCCTCATTGTTGGTGTGTGCACCCTAGATCCAGTGGGGCCAAGGGCAGCTGCTGGGGCAGAGCGGGATGAGAGAGGAACATGTAAGAGAAGAAGCGGGTTGGCAAGGTGAGGAGGGCTGAAGGCTCATACCTGCATCTGCTAACCTCCCCTGGGCCACACGAACTGGTATGCCAGGGATACAGGGCAGTGTGCCCCTGCCCGCCTCGCCACATGACTTTCTTAGAGCAGTTGTTCAACAGGAGCCCTGATTCTGAGGATATTTTCCCACTAGACTCTCTCATTATTGAGCACTTTCCTGCCTAGGGGACCTTCCTCCCAGCACTTGGATTCCAGTGTGGTTTGTGGGGATGATTCACGTGGGGCCTAATAATGGAGGAAGCCGTGGTTTACGGTTTGGTTTTGTCTGTCAAGTAAAGGTGGAGATAGTGACACACAGGAAAAAGTTCTCACCAAAGTCTCCAAAGGACACTGGGCCAAGGCCCCTCTCTGCATCTCATCTTTGCACGGAGGAGGGGGCAGCCACGCAAGCCATGGGGACCGCGCAGTGCCTCGCGCTCGTCAGGAGGGCTGGGGATCAGCGGCTGCAGCAGCAACCCCCGTGCCCCCTTTCTGTCCAGTCACACTTCCATCTTTTTTCAGCTGTTGACCATGATTGATGTGTCAGACTATGTTTTTCTGGTTGTGCCCCTGGATGGTTGTTTTTTTGAGATGTGGGGTCAGTCTCTTAATCTCACTTGTCTAACAAGAAGATCCAAACAACGACCTTCTCCTTCTGGGTTCAAATGGGACGTCTGTTCAACACACACTGTGCCCCTCCGACACACAGTTACCCTCCCACGTGGGGAGCTCTAGCCCGAATCACTGGCCCCGCTTCCTCTGACCACACGCTCCCTGACTGCCTGTGTTCCCTGCCTCTGTTCACCAGGCTCCGCACTCCCGGCCTCTGCTCACCAGCCTCCACACTCCCGGCCTCTGCTCACCACACACTCCCGGCCTCTGTTCACCGGGCTCCGCACTCACGGCCCCTGCTCACCAGCCTCCACACTCCCGGCCTCTGTTCACCAGGCTGCAGACTCCCGGCCTCTGTTCACCAGCCTCCACACTCCCCGCCTCTGTTCACCACACACTCCCGGCCTCTGTTCACCACACACTCCCGGCCTCTGTTCACCTCACTACACACTCCCGGCCTCTGTTCACCAGCCTACACTCCTGGCCCTGTTCACCAGCCTCCACACTCCCGGCCTCTGTTCACCACACACTCCCGGCCTCTGTTCACCAGCCTCCACACTCCTGGCTCTGTCTACCACACACTCCCGGCCTCTGTTCACTACACTCCCGCCTCTGTTCACTCAGCCTACACTCCCGGCCTCTGTTCACCAGCTCACATTCCCGGCCTCTGTTCACCAGCCTCCACACTTCCCGGCTCTGTTCACCAGGCTCCACACTCCCGGCCTCTGTTCACCAGGCCGTACACTCCTGGCCTCTGTTCACCAGCCCCACACTCCCGGCCTCTGTTCACCACACACCCCCGGCCTCTGTCTACCACACTCCCAGCCGCTGTTCACCAGCCTCCACACTCCCAGCCTCTGTTCACTAGCCTCCACACTCCCGGCCTCTGTTCACCACACACTCCCAGCCTCTGTTCATCACACACTCCCGGCCTCTGTTCACTCAACCTCACACTCCTGGCCTCTGTTCACTCAGCCTCCACACTCCCGCCTCGCTCACCACACACTCCCGGCCTCTGTTCACCAGCCTCCACACTCCTGGCCTCTGTTCACCAAAGGTTAACACTCCCGGCCTCTGTTCACCACACCCGGCTCCTGCTCACCAGCCCACACTCTCGGCCTCTGTTCACCAGCCTCCACACTCCCGGCCTCTGTTCACCAGGCTCCACACTCCCGGCCTCTGTTCACCAGGCTGCACACTCCGGCCTCTGTTCACTCAGCCTCCACACTCCGGCCTCTGTCTACCAGGCCCACACTCCCGGCCTCTGTTCACCAGCCTCCACATTCCCGGCCTCTGTTCACCAGCCTCCACACTCCCGACCTCTGTTCACCGGGCTCCACACTCCAGGCTGCAGGACTTGGCTTCGCCCTCAGCTCCCTGCACCATTGAGCCAGTGGCATCAAGTAGCTTCATCAACTTTATTGGTGGAGAATCCAAGGAAAGGCTGTTTCACTCCCAGGCCAAGCTCTTTCCTCCTCTCCTCTTACGCCAAGGCCTGGGGCACTAGCTGGCCACACATGGGTGATGCTGCCTAAGTCACTTCTTGAAGCACTGGGTTAGACTGGTCCTTCCTGGCTACCTGGACCTTAGGACTCTTCCCCAGCAGGATGGGGTTAGAGGACCCAGCGTGACCGAGGCTTTGGGAGGGCAGGAACCAGTTAGCGGTGCTTGCCTGTCCCTAAGACCTGGCTTACACTTGGAGAGGACCAGCCTTTGACCCTGCACAGCAGGCCCGGGCTCTGCAAACAGCCCTGACCCCTAGAGGGATGTTCAGTGTGTATCTCCCCCAAACTCCCACGGGCCTCAGAAAACTGAGGGCTGCCTCTGGGGGAGCAGGCTTTGGGCATTCCTGGGGTTGTCCTCTCTGCTCTGTTGCTTACCAACCATGTGGCCGTGGCTGAGTGACTCACCTCTCTCTGTAAAGCAGGGATGGAATGAATCCTTTGAATCAGCACGGGGAAGATCCAATGAGTTTCTATATGCCCAGCGCATCACAAGGTAATGAGTGGTTAGTACTGTTGTTGCTGCCATTCATCCATCCCTCTTGTAATTGTTGGTTTACTTTCTGTCTTCACCAGAAGCTCTCTCTCCATATCTGTGCCATCCACTTCTCTGACCCCAGAGCCCAGTGCCTGGATAGATGGTTGAATGAATGAATGAATGAATGAATGAATTTATTGTAATGGAGATTAAATGAGACGCCATGAAAACTCCAGGAACAGAATGACTCTTTATCTGGAGAAGACAAGCGGACAGGCCACAGGCATCCCGCACCGGGGCAGGCCCAGGGATACGCATGAGGCCTGGGTTGCATCATCACAGCACAGTGGGAGAGCCCAGTGCAGCTGTGGTGAAGGTGTCCATGTGGGTCACCTTTGCTGGTGGCTCTTTACTTCTGACTTCTATGTCACTCACCCTCCCAGCCCCTTGGCCTCCCTCGGGGAGCTGCCCTCCTGGACCCGAGCAGTAGGTGACAGCCGCACCCGTCCACAGGGAAAATGCTGTCTATTTCCCGTCAGTGCGAACTCTCACATTTACATTTTTGCCAAGCTGGAAATAACAATAACATAAACACGCCTCCGTGGCCCTGTCCTCTGTGAACGGAGAGGAGAAGAAAGTGCCGCCCCCTCCAGGAAACAAAGTGCCTTCTGTTAGCAGACACGGGCTTCTGGTTAAGTCCCCAGGGCCCCCATGGCTCAGTGGAATGAGCTGGGCCCGGCCTGCTGGGTGTACCGGGCTGTCTGTGCAGCCCCTCCCGAGGCCAGCCTTGTTTACCACCGTGGGAGAGGGGACACTCCCAGCCCAGCTGGGCACCCGCAAGGCGCTGACTGGCCAGCCCTGTGGGAACCCAGGGCCCTTAATGTCTCCCCTGTGCAGAACGGTCAGTGCTTTCCAACTCTCTGCCCTGTGCACTGTGGTCAAGGGCACGTCATGTCCCCAAGCACGGAGTGTGCCCAGGGTCCCATTCTTCACAACAGCCTTCCTTTCTCTGTCTGCTCAGCAAGCAGAAAAGGTTAACGTTTCCATCTTCTGTCCTAAGGAGACGCTTGCTGGGACTTGGTCTCGGCCATGAGTCTTTTCTTCCTCCTTCCTGGGAGGGGTTGGAGCTCAGCCTCAAAGCAGAGTGGCTGACAACGTGGGAGAGGCTTGGACGTGTCGCTGGAGAGGAACATTCTTGCCACCCCCACCCTAAAGAGGCTGCGGGGACAGGCAGCCCAGCCCTCCTGGCCTATTTTCGGGCTGGAGAGAGGTTCGGTCTAAGGCACAGTTTTGGGAGGCAGATCAGCCGCTCCGTTCCGGCCTCCCACTCCCATGGAGCTCTCTGCTGCTTCTTCCAAGGGGCTACAGATACCCATTCCTTGCTCTATTTCTTCACCAGCCCCGCCTGTTCTCAGTCCATTACCTCATGGCCCTGCTCTCTGCTTACTAAAGTGACAATTCATCTATAAGGAAGCCTTTGCACTGTATCTGGGGATTCGCAGGGCTGCACCCTCAGCAGGCACTGTGGCCATATGGCATTGGCCTGAGACCTGAGCTCCTGGAGCCTCAACCCTGAGGCCCATGGTGAGCATCTCTGTAACTACTCAGCCAGCCTGCCTTGGCCTGGTGATCATTAACCTGGGACCTTTCCCCCAGCACCAGTATCTGTGAGCTCAGGGAAGACATCTGGACTTTCTGAGAGCAGGGCAGGGCCAAACCATCTACTGAAATCATCAGCAAAAGCGAGGACTGATTGCTCCAGAAACTTCTAAATTTTTAGCTAGATGTAAATCATCCCACAGATATTATAGCTTTTGCTGCAATGTGGACACTGTGAAGGGTGTTTTGCCTCTTTTAGGGGCGCAATAAAAAAGGAAAAATAATGGAATGAGAAAAAAAAATCCAAACAATGGATAAAAAATCTTTGGTCGAGTCCTGTAAAACTACGACCTGAGTTCTCAGAAAGAGTCTATGGGAAACACATCACAGTAGGTCGACTTATTTCTGTCTCCAACCATAGCGACCATCTTCCGTAAAAAAAAAAAAAATTTGAGAAACAAAAAAAGTTAGTCTTATTACTCAATATACCACAATTACTTGCTTAGTTTCTATTTTGTTGAGCTGCTTCTGGTTTAAGTATAATATATGTATTTGAGTCTTAATAGCCATTATGATCACAAAACTGCTGGCAAGTTTTATCAAAACCCTTAAGACAGGCAAACATGAGGCTCTTAAAGAGAAAATCCTCAGTCGCCCCCTCATTTCTAATTTATCTGGTAAACATCTCAGAGGGAACTGAAGACAAATAGAAATAAATGAAGATACAAATGAATTCAATACTCACTGTTGTATAGATCAGCGGCTGTCAACCAAAGGGTAGCTTTGCCTCCCAGGGGACATTTGGCAACGTCTGCAGACATTTTTGGTTGTCGCAGCTTGGAGAAGAAAGGCTGCTGCTCGCATCCGGGGGTACAGACTAGGGAGTCTACAATGCTCAGAATGGCCCCTCACAACAAAGAAGGGTCTGGCTTGAAATTCCATAGTGTCAAGGTTAGAAATGTTGGTATAGAAACTATGAGAGACACAAAACAGCATAAAGGCATAATTACTGGCGTTTTAGGAATTTGCAAGCCAACTTGTTTTCAGAATGTTACTTAATGAAAACAGCCTTTAATGTCTCGTATTTATTTCCCCTGCTCTGGACCCTGTTTCACATTTATGGGAAAGCCAGGAGTCCCGCCATGCTTCTGAGTGAGGCATTCTGGGTAGCGCCGAGGAGGGCAGCACAGGGACACTGGTGCGGGGGCCACGGGCAGATGGCCCTTGCTGGGCCTGGCTGTTCACTGGAATCTGCACTATTCTCCACGGTGACAGTGAACAACTAAGCCATTTTTACCTTCAGGGGGTCTGCAGCTCTGAGGCCACCCAAGGACACTAAAACCAGGCCAGGCAGCTCTGGTGGGGAAGGTGACGAGAGGGGGCGTTGGTGCACAGAGCAGCACCATGGCTGCATCCAAATCTAGTCGGCTTTCGGAATCTCGTCCTGCGTGTATGTCTGATTCTCTCACTCTCCTCTGGCTTCTGGCCTTACCATGTTCTATGGAGTCCCCCAAACCGAGGAGCTGATGCCTCAGGGCCAGCCCTACGCTCTCATTTCTGGCACATTCCACAGTGGGCCTTACCTGGGAGGCATTTGGGGCAGGGCCCGGCCCAGATGAGATTCTCAGAAAGTATGGACGATGGTACTATAGTTGAAGAGGGGAGTCCTCGCTTCTAGAGCTGCGTGCCTCAATATTTACAACGAAATGATGTGATAGCCAGGATTTGCCTCAGAGTAACCTGGAGTGCAGAAACAGAGGCTAGGCGACGGGAAACGAGAATGGCCATGAGCCCTGGGGACGGCCCATGGGAGTCTAATCTGCATCTCTCTCTGCTTTCGTATACATTTGAAATTGTTCCTAAAAATATCTATAAACCATACTTGTCCCTCCAAGGCCAAAGCTTAGAGTAGGGGCCAAAGTGAGTGAAGGGGCCTTGGTTCTCTTTTAGAGAGAGTCACTTGGTTCAGAATGAGAGTTTTTAGTATCTCCCTGTTGATCTGGTAGACTGGGGCCCCTGTCAGGGAGTGCCAATGGTTAGGGGAGTCTGGAGGCTGGCTGGGTTCGTCAGGATGTGCTGGTGAGGATGCGGCTCGGGCCACCCCGTCAGAGCTGCCCTGAAGCAGGAGGCCTTGCAGGGATTTGAGGAGGCTGAGTCCGCACTCAAGAGGCTGCAAGAACCAAGCTGCCCTGATGCTGGGAGTGGGCCCCAGGCCGACAGCGTGAGCACAAGCCAGGCCTGAAGGGCACTGAGTGGCCAGAACAGACGGCACTTCCGAGGGGCTGAATCAGAATCGGTCCCAGGAGAGGGAAGAGGATGAAAACAAATCAGGAGGGCTTGTTTGTGTTTTAAGCCTGCCCACAAGAACCAGGAGATGGGCTCCTGGGATTTCACAATTCGAGGTCCGTCTGGTGCCTCCTGCATCCTCTACACTTGAATATTGTGTGACACACAAAAGTCGGAGGTGACCTGAAGACACGTGTACCACAAGGGATGCTGTGGAGATGCCCTACAGGGACCCTGATGCAGGGGCATTTCCGATTTCTGGGGCCCGGCTCGTAGATGAAGGCAGCAGAAAGTTACCTAAAGACAGTAATGGAGAGGTCTTACCGATCCACTGCTGTGTAATAAACCACCCCGAACTTAACAGCTTGGAACAGCAAGTGCTTATTCCCTGCCATGGTTCCTCAGGTTGACTAGGCTCAGTTGGGTGATTGTTGGCTGGTCTCACTTGGGGTCTCTTGGGAGGTTGCAGGCAGAAGGTGCCTGGGCTGGAGTCCCCTGGACACTCTCCCAGGGGCCCAGAACAGCTGCCTCTCCACATCGTCTCAAGGCCTTGGCTCCCTATGTGGCCTCTCTATGAGGTGTCTCCACGCAGCCTTTCTGGTGAAGGGAGCTGGGGACTTCTCACATGGAGGCTCAGGGCTCCTCAAAGTGCAGAAGCAGAAGCCTTCTTAACACTTAGCCAGAAGCTGGCCCAGCGTCACTTCTTCCTCCTTCCCTTGGTTAAGCTGTTGTGGCCAGCTCAGGTCCATGGGAGGGAAGGAAATTCCACCTCTTGATGGGAGAATGACAAGGAATTGTGGCCATCATTAATCCACCATAGGGACCCAGTCTGGAGCCTGCACAGAAGTGGGAAAGCTGTGGCCGTGTTAGGTGATGCCATCTTGTAGACGTGGGAGATGCCAGAACCGCCATCCCTGGCTCCTTCCCTGTGTCCTCGCTGACTTGGACAGGCAATGAGTAATTGTCATATCTTCAGATGCCTCTCGGCCTCATGTCATCAGCTATGAAGTGGCATCACAGTGGTCTCTCTCTGGGGCCAGCCCTGGGTCCACCTGCCAAACACCTCCCTGTGCACAGTTCTTGAAAGTCATGTATTCACTTGACCAGACACTAAAGCCAGACCCATCCCCACCCACTGAGGCCACCTCCATAAGGTCAAGCTGTGGGTATGTGCCGGTGGTTTCACTCTCTTCCTTCTGAGCTCACAGGAAGGAAGGAGGTTTTTGCAGGGGCAAATGGAGCATCGCCTCATGTCTTCTGCACCTCTCACATCCTCTAGCTCCTCCTCCCGGCAAACCTGCGAGGGAACTGAAGCCCAGAGAGGTCACCACCTGCCTCAAGGGCACATAGAGTCTTGGTGGAGTCAAGACTCAAGTCCAGGTCCTTGTACAGCAATGCCTTGTCTTCCCTGCAGGCTCCCAGGGGCAGGCAGGTGGGAGGTGGGTGCACAGGGAGCGCCATCGTTCCCACACCCAGACTTCTCAGGGATTTTCTTTCCTCAGTTACAAAGAGCCGTTCTGCTAGCCAGGACAGATGTTAGCGATTTTAAAGGAGCAAATGTTTCTCATTTCATCTTACCTTAATCAAGTTATCTGGGCTCTGTCCACAGAAGTATCTGAAGAGCAGATGACTGAAGAGGGGTGACAGCTGCTGCTGGCCTGGAGGGGTATTCTGTGCACTGAACGGCTGTCTGTCTGCTGGATATGGCATGGCTTGCTGATGGGCATGAATGTGGGGAGCAGGAGCCTGCATCTCAGCCTTCTGCCTCTGGAATTGAAATTGGACCTGTCTGTGGGTCAGTCTGCCCTGGGGGAACTGCCATTCTCTCACTCTCCTCTCAGTCCTGCCTACCACTCCAGCCTGTCCCAGTGCCCATGGCCGGGAAAGGAACACCTGGGACATCGCTGGCTCAGCCCGCACTCTGTCACCTCTCTGCCACATTCCACACACCATGGGCCCTTTTGGGAGACTTTCTGGGCAGGGCTTTGCCAAATTGCATTTAAAAATAATCTCTGAAATATGCTTCACCTTCAAAGCAGGGCTAGAGATGGAGATGCATGAAGTGAGACTGGGAGGACTCAATGTTATCTCGGAGAGTCTGATTTGATTTCAGTGCTGAGTAGGAGGAGAATGCCCTGCAGTCCCTGTCTGCTTCACCTTAATTTGTAAGGACAGGGGTGTTTCTTCCCCCCACAGTGCCTAGGTTCTTGCTAAGCATAGTTGGAATCAGCAAACAAGCAGCAGCACTGAAGACACACTTGCTGACTGAAGGAAATTGCTCTCGACCTTGGCCGAATACTAGGGAACTTTAAAAACCACGGACGCCTGGCTCCTACCCCCACATTCTGGCAATTGGCCTGGAGTAGGACCCGGGCAGAAATTCCCCCGTGATTCTACTGTGCAGGCGAGGTGAGGCCTCCTGCCCTGATACCTGCTCCTCCGCTCCTACCAGCCCTGCTGGAGTGAGCCTGACTTTGCCTCAGCTTGGGTCTGCTCACGGGGGTGTCCAGCCTGCTGCCTCTTGTCACCATCATGACCTGGACAAGCCCTGCTGCTTCCCAGTACATTCAGACAACGGGACCGGAGGAAAGAGGATCTCAGTTGGAGATGTCCAAGGTGCCCCAGTCAAAAGATAAAACTTGCAGATGTCTGCCAATGGCTTGGGAAGACACTGCTGAAGTCATGTCATGCCATAACTGGGGCTGCATCTGTGAGAGAGGAGCATGACCTTGGAGGCAGAAGGTCAAGGTCAAGACTCACCCATTCTACTCCATGTGCTTGGTTTCCCCATCTCCATAAATGGCAGCTTCATGTTTTCAGTATCGCAAGTCAATGGCCTTGGGGTCATCTTTGATTCCTCTTTCTCTCACATTTCACATCTATCTTACTGGCTCCACATTCCAAATATATCTGGATTCTGACGGCTGCTCACCACCTCTGCTAGCATCTTATCAGGTCTGAATTACCGCAACCACCTCCTAACTGGTCCCTCTGAGTCCATCCCTGGCCCGTCACAGTCTGTTCTCAACGTGGCACCCAGAGAAGTCCTTTCAAAATGCAATTTAGAGTATGTCACCCTTCTGTTCGGAACCTTCACTGGATTCTAAACCCACATCGTGGGACATCCCAAGTTCTTACCGTAATCTCTAAGGCTGGCCAGGTCTGGTGCCTGCTGTCTCCTGGGCTCATTGTCTGCTGCTCTCCTCCTCATTTATGCCAGTCTGGCCACCCCAGCCTCCTTGCTGTTCTCTAAGATTCCCACGGTCCCACCACAGGGCCTTTGTACTTGCTGTTCCCTCTGAGTAGAACACCCTTCTTGATATTTGCACAGCTCACTGCCTTCCTTCAGGTTTCTGTTCAGTTATTACCTTATCAGAGAGGCCTCCCTGTGTACCTTACCTAAAATAGTGTCCCCTAACTTAATTCTAACCTTTTTTTTTTTTTGAATTTTTTTTGGAGACAGGGTCTCACTCTGTTGCCCAGGCTGGAGTGCAGTAGCCTGATCACAGCTCACTGCAGCCTCAACCTCCTGGGCTGAAGCAATCCTTCCACCTCAGCCTCCCAAGTAGCTGGGACTACAGGCATGCACCATCACTTGCCTAATTTTTGCATTTTTTTTTTTTTGTACAGATGGGGTCTCACTGTCTTACCTGGGCTGGTCTCAACCTCCTGGGCTCAAGTGATGCTCTCAACTCAGCCTCCCAAAGTGCTGAGATTACAGGTGTGAGCCACCTTTTCCCTTTTATTCTCAGAGTCTGTCACCACCCGCATATTATACATTTACCTGTTTACTTGCAGGATCTTGCCACTAGAATGTGTTCCCTGAGAGCAAGTTCACTGTGGTGCCTCCAGCACCCAGGATGGTGTCTGAAACACAGCAAGCGCTCGGCAAGTATTTGCTGAATGGGTGAGTACATGTATGAGGGAAAGCGGTTGCAAAGAAGATTCCAGGGAGGGTCTTTTGGGAGGTCACGTGAACCAGACCTTAAAAGACTGAGGTGAGCATGTAGGGGTGGAGGGAGAGGCTTTTCCAGAAAAGGGGATAACAGCTGTCAAGTTGGTCAGGAGCTCAGGGGGTGTGGGCATGAGTGGAGCATCTGGATGGAGCTGTGTGCGCCCAGCTCATGAACTACCCACTCAGAGCTACTGAGGCTCAGCTAATGTGCTTGGGAGCCCTGTGCAGCCGGGAGAAGGCACTGGATGGGCATCCAGGTTAACTGCATGACTCAGTTGCTCTCTCAGGATGATACCACAGACCACATAATCTCCGGGTTTAGTCTTCTCAGAACCACTCATGAAGGTCCTACTAACCAGGGCTGGCCTGAGGTGGAGGTGGGTGGAGCTGGTGTGGTTTAAAAGGATAGATTTTTCTGCCTCCCGCAACCTGGCTGAGGCCTGAGATGGCTTTGGCTGCCTTTAGGCTTTATGGACCTCACTTGGCCTTGTGAGCATAATTGCGCTCAGCCCCTCCTTTACCTGGAGCGGTAACACGTTCCTGGTAGGGAGTGGACACTGAGGTGGTGCACTGTGGGAGGGAAAGGCAGGTTTGGAGTCTGAAGAACTGACTATAGCCCAGGCTGGGGCCCAGCCAGGAGGCTGTTTGGGGACAAACTCAGTCTTTCGAGGATTGCACCACTGTGTGCTCACAAACACGGCCAGGCAGCCACTGAACATCCATTGCCAGTTCCTTCCTGTGTCTCTGGTGACAAGAAGTTGCCTATATATTTATTAGTGCCAGGTAATGTCAGGCACTTTACCACATTACCTGGTTAATCATCTCCAAAAAAATTATGGAAAGATAAGAAATTCATTGTGCAGTTGGGGAAATGGAAGCATAGAAAACTTCCTTAAGCTGGGTGATGTCAGTGAAAATGGTGGACTAAGGACCTCAAAAGACTCTCTTCTCCATAAAAGCAATGTGAATCCTGGAAAAAATGGTCAGAACTTTTCCAAAACTCTGGAAATTGAGCAAAGACTTACAGCAGTCTGGGTAGCATTTACATAAGAAAAATGGCTGAATCTCAGTAAGAACAGTAAGCATTGTGATGTTCTAACTTGCTCCATTAGAAATAATAAATGAGTTCAGTAAAGTATCAGGGCACAAGATCAATACATAAAAGTCAATTGTCTTTTTGTACATGGGCAATGAATAACCTGAAAATGAAATTAAAATAATTTCATATACAATAGCATTAAAAAGAATAAAATACTTAGGAATAAATTTTAAAAAGAAGTGTAAGTCTTATACACTGAAACTCCAAAACATTGGTGAAAGAAATTAGAGAAGAGCTAAATAAATGGAAAGGCATCCTCCTGTGTTCATGGATTGAATTAGTTAATATTGTTAAATGGCAAGACTCCCCAAAGCAATCTACAGATCAATGGAATCTTTACCAAAATCCCAGCGGGCTTTTTTGCAGAAATGACAAACAAATCCTCAAGTTTATATGGAAGTTCTAGGGACCCATAACAGCCAAAATAACCTTGAAGAAGAAGAACGAAGTTTGAGGACTTATACTTTCCAATTTCAAAACTTACTACAAAGCTACAATAACCAGGACTGTACAGTAGTAGCAGAAGGATAGACACATAGATCACTGGAATAGAATTGAGAGTCCAGAAATAAACACATACATTGATTCATGGGTCAATTGTGTTTGGACAAGGATACTAAAACAATTCAATTGGGAAATAATTGTCTTTTCAACAAGTGGTGCTGGGAAAATCAGATATTCACATGTAAAAGAATGAAGTTAGACCCCTACTTCACACTATAAACTAAAATTAACTCAAAATGGATCAAAGACCTAAATGGCTAAACTGTAACATTCTTAAAAGAAAAAACATACATGTAAATCTTCATGACTTTGGATTAGGCCATGTTTCTTAGATATGATACCAAAAATGCAAGCAAACAAAAACAAATACTTAAATTGAAATTCATCAAAACATTTTTTTAACGAACTTCATTTAAAACTTTAAAAAAAAAAGTTTTAAAAAAGTCATTTAAAAGTTTTTAATGAACTTCATTAAAAACTTTCATGCTTCAAAGGACACTATCAAGAAAGTGAAAAGACAACCCATAAAATGGGGGAAGTATTTGCAAATCATATATCTTATAATGGTCTCATATTTGGAATACATAAAGGATTCTTACAACTGAATAATAAATAGACCAATAACCAATTAAAAATGGGCAAAGGATTTGAAGAGACATTTCTCCAAAGAAGATATACAAATGACCAATAAACACATACAAAAGTGTCCAATGTTGGGCTGGGCATGGTGGCTCACACCTGTAATCCCAACACTTTGGGAGGCTGAGGTGGGCAGTTCGCTTGAGTCCAGGAGTTTGAGACCAGCCTAGGCAACATGGTGAAACCCCATCTCTACAAAAAGCACAAAAATTAGCTGGGTTTGGTGGTGCATGCCTGTAATCCCAGCTATCAGGGGTATGAGGCAGGAGAATTGCTTGAGCCTGGGATGGGGAGGTTGCAGTGAGCCGAGATCACACTACTGCACTCCAGCCTGGGCGACAGAGCGAGACTCCACCCCCCCAAAAAAAAGTTGCTCAATATCATTAGTCATTAGGAAAATGCAAATTCAAATCACAAGGTACTACTTCCCATCCACTAGGACAGCAATGGTCAAAAAGACAGAGAATAAGTATTGGCAAGGATGTGGAAAAATTGGAACACTTACATTGCTGGTGAGAATGTAAAATGGTATAGCTACTTTGGATAACAATTAGACAATTCCTCAAAAAA